TTGGGTTTTCGTCGCTTGGCAACGACGTTGTAAAACAAGCCCCCCCCTCGGTGTTTGCCATCGGCATTGGGTTTTCGTCGCTTAGCAACGACGTTGTCAAACAAGCCAATCCACTTGGTGAACTCGGCAACCAGGTTGCCGTTGGATTTTTTTACCTCTTTTTTTGTGGCGGTAACCATGATGGTGGTCGAGTAGACCATGTTGTGCGGGGTGGAGAACCCTTACTCCGCGCAAGGGGGATGATCGCACCCCGGTGTGTTACAATGGTCAAGCGCCCTCGAGGCAGTTACACAGTGCTTACAACAGTCTCAGGAAGTGAAAGCGCCAGAAAATAATATATGTCATACGCAGCTGTCATCCGTATGCAAGGAAGTAAGCACAAGATGCCGAACACCCTTAGCAGGATGCAGCGCACCCTTCATGCGACTCNCCCCCCCTCCCCTCGCCGCCCCAAAGCCACAGTTCTGATCATGAAAACGAGCTGTCTGAGACAGAGCCAGCTGGGACAGCTATGGACTCCAAACACACTGAAACTGTACTCTTCTAACTCCAAAGATCACACCTCCGCCCTCCCCTCCCCATGAGCCACAGTTGGTATTAAAAAAAAGGCCCAGGCCGCGAAGATAAGAGGTAGCAGTGACAGATTCCAACACTCTTGCAGACACAGTACGACAACACCTGGCTCTCTTACGACGACGTTATGCGCTAGCGAAAGCAGCAAGCACATCACAGCATTCTACGACCTAGAAGCTTACACGGCTTGCGAATGATTATTGTTCGTGAGATGTCTGCAGGTCTCCCGATGTGCACTTGAAAGCTGTCAACCCCCTACTCATCCTCTGTCTGCAAAAACAGGCGAACCTGGAGAAAATTTCGGAGGCCAAGGCCGGGACTATTGAGGAGCACTTCGGTCGGGTGAAGGAGACCGTTTTGCAGCTGCAGGCATTTGGAGAGCAGGCAGGCCTCATCGTGCCGGAGACGATGACGGTCGATGCGTATGTGGAACAGAACTCGGGGCTGCTAGAGCCGGAAATCCTGGACTACGAGCACTCGGTCTGGTGAGCCCCTTGGGCGACTATCGTTGCAGCAGGCATTGTTGCAAAGCGTAACACGCACCTTTGTGGGAACATAACCTTGAAAAAATACCCCCCAAGAATTTTCGCAAGGATTGTTTGCTAGGACATTTCGTACCGCTCTCTCTGGGGAAAACAAGCTATTGTTGAATTGAAAAGGCGGTTGTTGTTTGCCACAATCTCGTGCATAGATTCTGTTTCCATTGCTGCCCCAATGGCCAAGACGGGCACCAACCCGACAGCCGATGACAATCATGCACGTCTCTCACTATATATAGTAAGCGTACCGAGGCCAAACCCTCAACCTTGTTTTCTGCGGAGCTATACGAGTGCAAGCGTATTGGGTGTGGGGTGATTCGGTCAAGAGATACGAAGCGTCGCACACGATCAAGCTCTGTTAGAACAAACCTCTCCCTTTTTTCCTACATGACAGCAGAGTACTTTTGCGAACTGTCCATCAACAGATAGCAACAGTTCGTCTCACCAGCGATGTTTTTGTCAAAGGATGGAACCATCCCACAACCGCCTACTTGCACCCGAAAGAGATCTGTTTGTGGAGGTTGCACCGTCGAGGGGTTGGCCCCGATTCGTCAGCTCAGGAGCGAGGGATGTGAACGGGAGTTGTCCGCTCTCAACTTTGACTACTTTTCAGAAAATCGTACGAGCTTGAGCAACCGTGTCGAGTAAAATTATTCGCTTTGTCAGTAAGGCCTTGTAGCGCGAGATCGAGATGCATGAAGACTACGTTTGTGAGCACCATGTGCCCATGGAGATTTCGGTGAACAAGCCCAGTAAGCTACACGCTTCAGTTGCGAATCGCTACAGCTCGACACAAGCATCACACTGCTCAAAATTCCCGGAGCATACCGTGTGTGAGTGGTGCATGCCGGAACAGCAGCTGAAGGCAGCCAGAAAGACTTCAAGGTACCTCATGAAGTGTAGCTAGATGCAGCGTTGGCTCGAAGTTGTACCGTTGCCGGATCTTGTGGGTTCGTTGGCGCATCGACGCCGTTCTCGACGTGTTCATCCCCGATGGGCAAATTAACTTCCCGCGAATCATGGTGGTTTTCCGGGGAATTCGTAGGCCTAACGTGTGGTAGAAGTTTGACCCACCACACGAACTGTTTTTTCGATCTACGGCCCAAAACATGAATCAAAACCACGCTTTCCGCGTTGGTTTTATGGTCTTCTGCATGCTGAGTTGCTGTTGTGCCATCCCTCTACGTTCAAGTTTAGGTTGTTTTTTTAAAGCGCCATTCTTGGTATTTTTTCCGTGAGTAGCCGGGTTTAGCCCTGACATGCACTTGTCTGTAAAACAAGCAGCAACAATCGTCATGTGGTTCGTCTCCTTCAAGGAAGCAGACGTGTCCACCGGCTTCACCATTGGCCGGTACTCGACTATTATACTTTTTTTTAATCGTGCGCTGGTGTTCGAACCAATCAAGCCTCCTCGCGATGTTCCACACCCTGCCCCGTGCTCTTTAGGTTCATCCCGGAGTTCGGCGCGGAGGCGCCAGAGGCCGGCAGTACCGTGGAAGGTCTCCTCAATCGCTCATCGCTCATGGATGTAGCGTTTCGCGGAATGCAGCGTCAGCACAGCCTTATCTTCATCTCGGCCTTGGAGGACCCTACTCCAGCTGAAGGGGTGGTGCCCTATATCGACTTTCAGTCGTACCCCGATTATAACATGTCCCTCGGGGACTATCTCACGTGGGGCGAAAACGCGGTAAGCACAAACGAAGAATACACCAATGTCATGAGTCGGACCTGCCTCAGCAACAACAATAGTTGCGCACGGAGCAATGACGCTCAATCGTATATACGTTCAATGGGAGCATCGACGATTCTCACCCGTTTCTCGCCACCGTTGGAGGGTTGATATTTGATTTCTCCGGATTATCCTTTTGCCTCTGTTTCTTCCGCTCTAAGGCTGAAAGTTCAGTTCTTTTGGGGATTTGAGCAAACCGTCTCATGTACCTTTGCGCAAGTTCGAATGTCTGGTCTCGTCTAACCTAGTGTTTGGCGTGGTTAGCTGTCTCTGAGCGAGACGAGAGAGGCTTCAAAAGGACAACGTCACGAACCACTATCCTTTTCACATGGCTGCGCTGCATGCCACCTCCTTGCGCCGCTCTCTAGCGTGCACAACGTGACTAGCTTGGATTTGGTGACTCCTAGCGCTGCTGTCGCAATGCAAGATCGCATGTGAGTTTTTGTTAGTTAACGCACTGGAAGTAACAAAAGTTTGCGCGTACACGATGAACTTCAAACATGCCACCGCCTGTTTTGTGCGTACTCCTGTTGAACCCAACCTTTGCTGCAACGGAAATCATCAGATTTGTGACGAGCGGTACGACACTACTGGTACCTTCGAAGGGATGCACTTCGAGCCGCGCTGCAGGCTCTGGTACCAAGACGCCCTCGAGGCGGGCAATACTGGGTGCATAATCACTAAACCTTATGTTGACGCACATACGTCCAAGCTCATTCTAACGGGTGCGGCACCCGTGTTCAACCCCTCCGGCAACCTTCTGGGAGTGGTCGGCTTGGACGTCAACTCTTCGGATATCGAGAGTACCATCAAACACCTAACTGTTATCGACGGGGAGGGCTACGCCTATCTGCTGGCCCCGGGAGGGGAAGGGCAGGTAGCCGTTCACAACTTCTTGGAAAACTACGGGCAAGAACAGTACGTATACGACCTCGAGCCTGTGGATGTGGAAGAGTTCGAACCCGTTTTGACGAAAATGAACGAAAGATGCAGTGGGTCGGAGGAGTACACGATGAACGGGGAGACTTGGCTGCTGGCGTGGAACCACGAAACGGTAAGCACCTCGTCAACGGTTGCAACGGCAACTTCGGGGACGGATGCTAATGAAGGGTGCGATGGCTTCATCGTTGTCGTTACCGTCAGGGAATCGGCCCTCTTGGAGGTGAGTGACAGGTGTTGATTCTGTCGTCAAGAGGTGGCCTGGCGGCCTTTAGGGGCAGACATCACATTTGTATGAACTTGTCGGCGTTGATTGCTCTCCTCTACCATCGCTCACGACTTCCCTGAAACGTGCACAATTTGTGACTGGCCGTGGGTTTTGTGTCGTTCCTCAACCTCCTACTGACCGCTGTACGATACTAGTGATGCGCCCACGTGACACATGTGGTCGTTGAGCTGGATCCGGTTTGAATTCAAGAGTCATGGACAGCATCCATTTCGGCTTTTTCCACATCCGACTTGCATCACACATTGGTCACTGAGTTCACCTGACCTAGGCCGAAGCCTGGAGCCAGTGTCCGTCGCTTGCGATGCCCTATGATGCTCGTGATCATGGGTTGGATAGTGTAAGGGGAATTTCCAGCCTATTTTTCGTATCTCCCAGGTTGTTTTCTATGTTGAAACTTTTCTGTGCCCTGAGCCTTGTTGGCCATAGATCAACCGCTCTGCGTCCGTTGGATATATCTGTGATCTCCGTTGCTACATTACCGTGATGACTGGCATTGTCATCAGGCATTCTCAAAGACGGCAGACGATATTCGCTATTTCGTCGCCCTGGCGAGCATCATCATGGCGGTGGTGCTGCTGGTGATCGGCTGCTGCACCGGCGGATCCGCCCTCATGTTGTCAACAAGCATTACCGAACCCGTCAATCAATTGGTGGATGTTGTTCATGCATTGAACCGGCGTGACTTCGCCGAGAAGGTACGTGTGCACACATGCCGCGAAATAGCACCGGTGGCGTTCAAATGTAGCCGTAGGAAGTGTCGATGTGGACATTGGTCGAAACAGAGGCCGCTCGCCGTTGAATGCGCAAACGTAAACTTTTGACTCTTCGAGCGCTGTGTGCTGTACCATACCTTCTCAGTATTGTCCTCCAATTGGGTTTCGCAGTGCGCTCCAACATTTCTTTGAGACCGTTTCGTTTTCGTGGCATGCACTTGTGTTGAAGGCCCCCGGGACGTGGATTGTAAACGACGTGACGTCTCCCGAGGTGGAAGAACTGATGACGGCGTTCCAGGCCATGACCACCGTCGTCAAGTTCGCCAACATGAGCCTGAGCCACGGCGACATTGACGTGGCCGAACAAAATTACATTGAAGCCAAGGTCCTCTTCCTGAAGCTGGGAAACGAGCGGGGAGTTGGCATCGTGCATAACAACTTGGGCAGTGTGTATACGCTCCAGGCGCGCGAGTATGCTAAGCAGGCCGCGGCGGAGACGGACGAGGCGAAAGCTGACCATCTCATGGAGAAGGCGGACGGCAAGTTTTACGATGCAGAGACGAACTATCAGGTAAGCTATCAGGACAGGGGCGTGGGAATTTGCCGCCTCGTTTTCATCCTCATTCGAGTGTCTGACTCTAATCTGTTTCTGACGCGCTAACAGCACGCCAACCCGCCGGACGAAACTCGTGCATGTTTTCAGTTCTTTTTTCGTTGCTGGGCTGCTTCCCATACCTGAACAAAGTTGACAATTAACGTTGTATATTTCCTACCCACATTTGAACGTGCTGTGCATGTGTTTTAGGTGGCGATCGACGACGCCTTCTTGCTGCGTGCAGGACAGGATCAGATTCACGAAGACGACAGCGACAAGGGCGGCATCGACGGCGACGCCAACAGAGAAGGGGAGTTCAAGGAAGGGCAGCCACGACAGTCTGGTTCAAGGCCCGACGTCGAAAAGGGGTCTGGAGTTGCAGGCGGGTCGAGGGTCATGAGTAACCATGGCTATCGACACGTTAGCTCTTGCAGGGCTAGCAGCACCTACAGTGTCTCTCGCCTATCCTTGGATAACCCCAACTCGGCGCTCGCTCTCGACCTCCAGCTAGCGAACCGGAAGCTAAACCTTGCGCTATGCCTGGGCACCAAAGCCTTCAGCGGTGTGCCCTTGGGGAGACCTCCCGACCTCAACGCGGTCAACCACGCCAGACGGCTCCTGAACGAATGCGCCACGCTGGCGGCGAACAGGAACGATCCCAAAGGTGACCAGCGACATGTGGAGTGCCTCCTCGAAGTCGCGAAGCTCGAGCGCCAGGCGGGTCGCAGTAGCGAGGCCTTTAATGCCCTGGATACTGCCCAGCGCCTGGTGATGGATTCCCACGGTGTTGGCGGTGCGGATGGTGCCCATCGCACGGTCGGCCTCGGCAACCCTGCCAGTCTTGGAATCACCGTCCCGCCGCCGGAAGGAGTCTCACTGTCCCCGCCCTTAGCGGCGCTTAGGCAGAAAGTCCTGGTGGCGCGTGGGGAGCACTGCGTCGCTTCCGGTAAACCCGATGAAGCCATCGAGCATTGGACCGACGCTGTCGTGGGTTGCGGAGACAGAATGGACGTGGTTGCGGTACGAGGTGCATTGATGGGTCTCCGCAGGCAGGCCGAGAACGGGTTGAAGTTCCCGAAGACGCTCATGGATGCCTTGGGCTTTTCAGATTTGGAGCTAAACCGCACGGTGGGCGTCGATCAGCTTGTGGCGGCCGTGGACAAGGCTCTGGCAAAGCTAGACTCCGTGGCGAAGAAGTCCGGGACAGCGGTGACGGCCGTGGCGGCGACCAAAGTTGACCTGTGCTTCGTCATGGACTGCACGCGCTCGGTAAGTCGACGAGGAGCGCTACGCTGGTGTCATTTGGCTATTGTCTTGGTCGGAGGTGTTATAGATATGGCCGGATGGAATCAACTAAGGGACCCGCTCTCGATTATTCCACAACGTTGTGCTTCGTACGGTCGATGTACCTTAGTTTATGCTTGGCGACGGAAGTCGTTGGAGTTTGCTTGGGAGGAATATCACCTTCTTTCCGTGTTTCCTGGTTGTCGAGAAGCCCCCCCGCAATGAATACATTACGTATAGAAGGGAGAGACTGCACAGAAGATTTGGATGCAAAGTCAGCGCGCGGGGGAGGGTGTTGCCGTGCTATTTTTTTTTGTTCAGGAGAGGCGAATCATAGGAACTTCTGAATTTTTTGGGTGTGTCTCGTACTCGGGTTTTTCCAGCCTGAACACCATGCGCACAGAGCTGACCATGCGGTCATGCGGTGGAGCATGTCCCTGCCGCTTCATTGCTGTTTCTCTCAATTCGTCTGGGAATGCCAGATGCAGAGTTGGATCGACCAGGCAAGAAACAAGTTGAAGGCCATCATCGACCAGGCGAAGAAGGATGTGGACAACCTTGAGCTCCGCGTGGCCTTCGTAGGGTAAGTCAATCGCATGAAATATGGTCGGAGTCATGGAACATGCTATAGGTATCACCAACAAGGCAGCAGCCTAGACATTGTCGGGCTAATCGTCCCTGTTCTGTGGATGTGTTGTGCGATTTTGAGACGGTTTTGTGTTTTCGAAATTTTCCAGGCCCATCCGATGGTTGTTTTCATTGGCTGCCGAACTCAGCTTTTCCCGGGCTGTGCGTCGGGTTTCGACATTGATGTACACGTATCCCTTGCCTTCCGCAGCCAGCAGTAACCAGATCTCAGGGAAACATCACATAGGTATGATTTGACTACATCATGGTACCACTGAAGTCGTACCAAATCCGTCCATTTTGTTGCTATTTTTCCCTCTCGTGGAACGGCGGTCGCTCACAGGTACCGGGACTTCGGAGACAAAGTGCGATGCGAGGGTCCTTACGACTTCCACACGGAGGACAAAATTCCCCAGCTTCTCGGCAAGCTGCGACACATCAAGGCTACCGGAGGTATATCTAAGCGCTTTGGCCAGTTGTCGTCAGCCTACACCCCGTGCCCATCCGGGGGTTCGGGGTGCTTGTTGCAAACAGCTGCTGCTGCTTTGTTCAATGTTTCGTCGGGTAGTCCACAATCCCCCGTCCCTCTCCTTCTTGTTCTCCCTATGGTATTCGGTTGTTTCTCCAGCAACCTAACATCACATCACTCTGCATCACCGACCTCCACGCCGCCCACACCATAACCGTACACCGGTAGGCAAAGACGTGCCCGAGGACATTGCCGGGGGGTTGGAATGTGCAACTCAACTGTCGTGGGAGAGCCCCATCCGCCTGTGCATGCTCATCGCAGACGCGCCGTGCCACGGCTCGATGTACCATAGCTGCAGGGACAACTACCCGACGGGCTGCCCGAAAGGACTCGATCCGTCCAAGCTGCTCTACAAGTTGCAGGTGTGTGAGCAGCCAAGTGCAACACATGTATACAAATCCCATGCCGGCGATCATTACTGCGTGTGGTGTGTCGTGTCGTGTTTTGAACCCGTGTTATCCGTGCTCTTTTCGTCTCTTGGATATTCGGGCTGCTGCTCCTTTGCGCATGCTGCTGCTGCTGCTGCTGCTCAGGCTGACGCTGCTGCTTCTGCATCAGCAGCAGACTATTGCCACGCTGCATGAATGAAAGTATGTTGCCCCATGGCAGACGTGCTCCAGACTCCATTCGTCTTGAAATAATTCCCGCCCTAGTTTGTTCATTTTTGGGTGCGGCGACAGCTGTCTTCCCGATCTTGCTAAGGAGGATAGCCCGTATGGTTGCGAAGAATAGCTACTCTGAGAGTTGCTGGTTGAGCATCTTCGGAAAGGATTGATATGGGCCGCATGATACTCGTTCCTCGCCGGAGTTTCAAGATGAGCACAGCGTGCTGTAGACGTTGCCTGGTTTGTTGATCTTACCGACAAGGAGCGTTTCGTCGAAAACGTGTTCCACACGTTGCACGTCCGGTGCCTCTCGTTTCGTTGGCGCCCCCGTCTAATTTTGCGTCATCCCGTTCCCCTTCTCTCCCCTTCCCTCCCGTTTTCAAAATCAACCCGCAAACATCAACAATTTCCAGTACGAGCTCGGAGTGGATTTCTACTTCGTCCGCATCACTGGCATCACTGACAAGTGAGCAACTCTCGTTCGTCACGGTTATGCCGGCATCGCGTGCCTCAGACATACTTTATGATGCCTTCGCGATCGATCATCACATGAGTAGAAGCGCCCTCGAAATGGTACGTCTCTGGCTGCCGGTCCATCTGTCTGCGTGGGTGCGTGCGTGCCTGCTTGCCTGTCAGTCTAGCTGTCTGTCTCCTCTGCCTGTTGACCTGTTTTTTTTATCCGTCTTGTTTCTCTACTCTCTTCATCCGATAATTCGCGCGGTGTAACTCATTGACCGATCGACCACTCCAGAATGATCAGTGTCCTTCAGAACACGGTGACGGGTTACACCTCGGAGCGCAGCCACGCACGCCGACGGCCTCTCAAGGGCACCATAAACACCGAGCCAAAGTTCATGGTGCATGACCTAGGCTGCAACGATCACCGCTTCCTTGACACCGTGGTAGAGTCCGTCAAGGCAAGCGCTGGCATCAACCTCCGCATCGAAGTTTACTGTTGATGAGGAGCAGAAAATCGTTTTTCCAACGGCCGTACAAGGATGCAACATTTGTTATGTTGGGTCCCATGCCAAAGGTAGTCATGAGGAGGAGAGCATCGTTATTTGGGCGGCGGTTAAAGTTGCATGGTTGTGAAGTTTTCGGTGCTCGACAAGTACCGAAACGAAGAGAAGGTGGGCATATCTTTTCGACTTTGGTTCTCGGTTCATGTTTTGCGGTTTCATATGTACGCACTGTCGCGGTCTTTCGTGGGCTTGGTGCCGAAATCAGTCGATCAACACGATCGTAGAAGGCATTAACAGTGTGGGGTTACTACCTTGAGGCGTGATTCAGCGCGGGGGGGCACAAAATCCTCGTCGAAAGTCAAACCCGGCTGAATGGAGGGTAGAGCCCGGCGTCCTCTCTGGTGGATGTTTGAAGTATTTTGTCGGTAAACCTTCGGGGAGTACCGAAGGGGAGGAGTTTCTAGGAGAATAGTGTGCCTTAACCATCTGGCCTGTGGCTTGAGTTGTAAGTCGGAGTTGCGAGGGATTAGTTCGATGTGCTGAGTATTCATTTCTGTGGCCCACTACAAAACGGTGTCGGTGGCAGATGTTGCGAGGACCAATGGACGAGCGTCATTTCCGGCCAGTACCCGAATTTTGGCTCGACGGACGGGGTATGGCAGGGCCAGATGCACACAAAAGAACCGATGTGGTGACGAGATCAGCAGGTTGATCATGTGCCTCGAATATTGCAGCGGAACCGTTGGTCACCCGTTGCGTGATTAGCATGCTTGATGGACGTAGTTGACCAGTGCTTCAGACGTTACAGCGCAATTGGGTGAATTGAGGTCACCTCGTTAGGATTCGTCTAGAACAGCCGGTCCGGTCAAACGAAAGACTGCTGTACAAACTATTAATGTATTTGACGTTTATCTGGGGGGCATTCTTGTTGGGTTAAGCGTTTCCAAGTTCTGTGAGTCAGTTTGCTTGCTACGCTGCAGTGTTTGGCACAAGCCCGATACTCCATTTTTTACCGTAGTAGTAGTACAGACGTACCGGCGCGTAAGAACTTCTTTTATTCAACCTCTTTTATGTTGGGGCCCGTTGCTTGCTTTTTCTGTGGGGTAACCCACATCGACTACAATATTGCTGTTTTTATTTTGACAATTATTCAGTTGTATTCATCGAGTTCTTCAATTTAGTTCGCTTCGAGCCTGATTTTTTTTACTTGCAGGTTGTTAAGTGGTGGCGCGTACTGTATGGTGCACATTGTCGGCACTTTCCATGTATTATATGCCACTGTTGTTATAGCCATATCGTCGGCGTTGCGTAGTGTGCCGGTGTGTGGAAGCCAGTAGCAAACGTAAGAGTTCCCTCAAATCCATGTGGGGTGTACCATGCGGGTGCGTTTTATTCCAGAGGCAAACGCCATAGGAAGACAACGTGTGTCAATCCTCCAAAGGGAAGAATCAGAACCAGTCGACATGCTCCAGTCACTTGGGGGCAACTGGGGGCCAAGAAATAATGGGTACCAGTAGCAGAATGAATAAACTACAACCATGCAAGAAGTCATCCGTATGAAAGGAAACAACAAGCCGCCGAACAGCCTTAAAGGGCAGGATGCAGCGCACTCTCCATGTGACTCGCCGAATGCCTCGCCGAATTACCCATGGCGCTTCGCGCTTGGTAATGTGAGAGCCTGGTCCGGTGAGAACCCGGCGTGCTCCGTCCCGGGTAGGGATGCGAGGTCAATGGTCTAACGACGACGGCATGCACAGCTATGAGTACTCCCCCCCAAATCGTTGACGAATAGAGCCATCCCCTCAATCGTAGCTAGATTGTTGAGGGAACACAATACTGAGCAGCAAGCTGCACGTAACGCACGAACCCGCCTTCTCCGCACTTTGAAAAATGCTGCCTTTGTACATGCCCTCTCGTTCTCTCATCCTCTGACACCTTCACTACGGGATAACTCTACACCCATCCGTGGTCTTCGTTTCCCATTTGGTGCCAACATGCGAAAAGAAGCTATGGCTCGTTTCCATGGAAAACAAAAGTTGTTTGAGCGTGATCAACAGGCCAGAGCTGCACTCGGTCGGCATCTACAAATAGTGCTTATGTAGTTATCGCCCTGATACGCGCCGCTAGGGTGGTGGTGATTCGTATTTGCTCTGACGACGCATGACAACGCGAAAAAACGAAAGGACCAGCCATCGGCCAGGCCTGCGCCAGATGGGTTCATAAATACTCGCTGTTGTCTCGACAGCAGCATAAAGTTGCTACTGCCTGACGACCACCCTGGGTCAAGTGTACGCTACAGGGTGACAATTCCACAACCCTAAGACACATTTTCAAAGAACTTAATACACGTAGAAAGACAACGCCGTTTTGCTGCTCCGACATCAACTCAATCGAAAGGGCTTGCCTCTACTAAAAGTGTCCACAGCACAGACCGATCGCACCCTGACGATGACGTCTTGCGTGCTCTCTGCCTTTGGGTGGCAATGTCACATACCTTTTTGGTTTTGGAGTAGAGAGGCAGTCAAGCATGGATTACGAGGAAAACAACGGGGGAGCAGATCCGAAACAGTTGAACAGGGGTTCGCGGTCCTGCCTCACGTGCCGAGGTGTGGTTTGGTTTCACCCCATCAGTCAATTGTTTTCTGCAACAAGAATCCCGTACCAAGGCTGCTGTTCGCTTACAGTGCGGTACTGCATCCATTCCGTTTCTCTTTCGGCACCAACGTTCGCCGACAGTACCGCACCCTTTCTGTTCCATTTCCGGCATCCCGAGAGGGCGTCAAAGGCGAAACCGCTCCACTCGTTCTCTGGGCTTTCCAACATATTTCGTGGAAAGCGCTTAACTGGTTGCTATTCAATTTCATTTTGGTTAATTAACAACTTGGGGGTCCACCGACCCCACACTCACGTGGCAGGCGCGTCGATGGTACCGTGCAGCAGTCCTAATAAGTAACGCGATTGCGGCACCCGTTTGGGGGGCAGGGCAGGGATCGGGAGCGGAGGGCGCGTTGGAGTGTGAGGGCTTAGGGCTTACCCATTCGTTGCTTGCCGTTGGCACTTGGCCCTTGACCACGGATATTCACCAAGTTTGGGACGGACCGTCGTCGTTCGTAATCTCCGGTTTGCTGCCGACATCACCGTTGGTGCTCTCACCAGCGTCGCCATGTTTCGAGTTCGAACTGGGTGGGTGGAGAGTGTGCTACTGTTTCCTGCAAAGCGGGGCATCAGGCACCACCTCAATTTCGCGTTGTGATAGGAACATATGTGCAAGCTTCAAACCGGGCAAACACGTAGCAAAAGGTTTGGTGAGCTGTGAGGCGGACGTGAACGAGAGGTACGCGCGATCAGGGTTCGGTGCTGGAACGCGGAGAGAATTTCTTCGCTCCGGCACAGAGATTGCGTACAACTACATACAGTGGATGGGCGCCTTTCGGCGAATCATCTCATTGTGTTCAATGATGGGTTTGGACGAAGCACCGATAGCTGCGTTAGCGAACTCAAATTTTCGTCGAGGACACGCATGAGGGCTGCTCTCAACCGAATGCATGTACCATGTACATGTCGTGGTTCTGCTCTCACGCCGATCGTGGATCAACCGCAACGAACGATGACCCTATCGCACTTTCGTGTGACACGATCTTCCTATAGCTAACTAAATGGCAGTTACTCGATGCGGAAAATGAGGTACGGAGCATCCCACCCTTGTCGTTGTGACAACCTGTCAGCGTCACCACTACACTCAGCAACAACGGCAAAGAATTGAATCGTGTTACACTCATTCCCACGGTCGAGAACATCGGCGTCCCTGTCCATCACAACGACGACCTAACCGTGGTTGTGATTTGGTAGCTCCAATAGTACCTACAGAGCGGCAGCAAAACCCACCGCGGCTGACCCTCCTATTGCGAGCAACAGCACCATCGCGCCGAGAGCTGTTGACTACGTTGTGTCCATAGCGCCGAGAGCCGTGGACTACGTTGCGTCCAGCCCTGATGCCCTCACCTTCTCTCGTAGGCATGGTTTGCCATCGATCAAATTGAGGTCCGCCCTCTGCTTTCCGTGAAAGTGCCTGCTGCAAAACACCTGTCAAAATGATCGGGAGGTGAGTCAAAAGGAATTACGGTATGAGAAGGAACCGTTGCCACTAGGCCTTCTTGTTCATATCCCTTACCTCAGGTTGTATGATGTTGTCTCCACAGCCAAAACCGTTCCGGTCTCTGCCCAGTACCTTCTAACATCCGTACCTGTACAACTGACCCGGACGACTTCCGTGAATACGGGCCAACTACCCCAAAAAGGCACACTAGAAATTAGACGGAACCAGTAACATCTCTCCCTTCTTCCCCTCGCTCCTCGACAAGCTTTTGCTTAGACATGGGTTGTAGTGAAGGGGGGGGTCTTTCTGGCGAGCAGGGCTAGACNATTTTTTGTGCGCGGAGGCAGACACCGTCAGAAGGTGGACGGGCACTATGTGCACGGCCCTAGGTTGGCTAGAGGGCGCTGCATTGCCTCAGTAACCTGGCTTCACCATCAAAGGAGGAAGGAGCAGCACAGGTAGACAAATGGCTACCCGCCCATATTCCTCTGAGGAAAAATAATCCTC